GCGGGGGGGGGCTCATCCCGCCCCCCCCAGAGCTCCACAGCCCCCCTCCGGCCCACCCTCACCCCCGTCCCTCTCTCTCTCTCTCTCTCTGTGCTTCTCCCTCCCCAGCAAATCCGGGGACAACTCCACCTCCAGCCTGGGTGACGTGGTGACAGGGACCCGCCGGCCCACGCCCCCGGCCAGCGGTAAGAGTGTCCCCCCTCAGCCCAGGGGGGTCCTTCCCCCACCTCCCCTTCACCCACAGCCCACCCCTCCGCCCCGGGTGCAGGCAGGGCACACCCCCTTCCCCCAGAGACCCCTCTCCTCTGCTTCTCCCACCACCCCACCACCCTCCCGCCCCTCCCAGCCCCCCCATCTCCATCGTTCCCCTTCTTCCATTGCCATCATCGCTCTTCTTCTCTCCCTGCCGTGTCCCGGCCCCGGCTCGGGCCGTCCCCAGGTGCCCTGGACATGCCCAGCTTTGCCTTTGACCCCGATGAGTTAGAGGAGGAGGAGGCCTTGGAGACCCAGCGCTCCCCTAAGAGTAGCGTGAGCAGTGTCACCACCCCCCCCGCCCACAACAAGCGCATCCCCTTCTTTAGGAAGGTAAAAGGGCCCCCCCCGCCGGCCCCCACCTCGCCTGCTGCACCCGCTGCCTGCCCTAACCCTGCCGGGGGGCTGGGGGCACCCCACGGGGCTGGGGGCACCCCATGGGGCTGGGGGACACCCGCTGCCCCAGCCCCCCCAGCACTGCAGCATGGGCATGACCCCCTGCACCCGGGGCTGGGGGGGGTCAGACTGGGGCTGTGACCCCCCTCGTGGGCCATGGGGTGGATCAACCCGTGGCTGTGACCCCCCCCATGGTCCATGGGTTGAATCCATCCATGGCCACATTCCCCCATGATCCGTGGGATGGAGCAGTCTGTGGCTGTCCACCCTCCCCCCACAGTGGTCCTTGGGATGGATCCATCCAGGGCTGATCCTCCCCCCATGGTCCATGGAATGGATCAGCCTGTGGCTGTGACCCCCCCGTGGTCCATGGGATGGATCAGCCCATGCCCACCCCCAGACCCCCCCCAGTGTGTGCATGGTGTGTGCCAG